GCGGGAAGCCTGCTGCTCCCTCTCTCACTCCCCCTGCTTGTGTTCCTGCTCTCGCTATAATAAATAAATAAAATCTTTAAAAAAAAATAAATAAAGTCACCAGTTTGTGGGAATTTGTTGCAGCAACCACAGGAACCTAATACATTGTGCTTGCACTTCTATATATTAATGCTGGAAGTGGATTTGTTTTGCCTTCTGCCCTCTTTAAAGAGGATGCTGGCCATCCAAGTCTCCATGGGTCTCAGTGTGCACAGGAAGTTTGCCTTCCCACAGATACCCAACTTGCCTGGCTCATTTGTCTGTCTGGTCTGTAGGAGCTCCCTGTTACAGAGGCAAAGTGCTAAGTGCTTTACATAGTATTAAATTAATCCTACCAATAACTCCGTGAGGTAGGTGCATTATAATTTTTATCCTTTCGATTTTACAGATGAAGAAACTGAGGTACACAGAAGTTAAGTCATTACCCAATACTATGCAGCTAAGAAGTGGTAGGGGTAGGAATAAAACCCAGGCAGTGTGGCTCCAGAGGCTATTGCTAACTACTCTACCAGGTTTATAGGCACTGGATTCTATGATCATGGGCCTGAAATATCGATTTCCATTCCTCTTCTATTTTTTTATTATTTGAGTTTCTAATACTTGAATTATTCAAAAACAATAATGGTAAAACACAAATACCAAATAAGTTCTTAAAGTATTCTACTAAACCTGTATGAGATAATTTTCTTTGGAGTACAGAAGAAGGGCCTTTATTTCAAGCTGTTCAGTGAATGCTGTGAGGCTGTGCAATGATGTTGTGCAGTTACGGATATTTCGACATACGTGACTGCTTACAGATACTTCCTAGATCTTCCAGAAACATAATCCAGGCACTTTTAGGGCAAAAGGAGTAGGCTCTGTGACTTATAATCCTTACCCACTTCATCCCTGCATGTTCCTAATTATGCCCTTTGGAACTGGTTTTTAGAATGTCAACTTTATTTGTTCAAATTATGGCCCTTAAACTGCCATTGATTTATTCTGACTATACCAGTATTGTTCTTTTTTCCCCGTTTTTGAACTAATGGGAAGTAAAGGAAGACAGAAGAGATGAACTACTTTATATTTCATCTTTTGTTTCTCCACAGAGTGTCACTCTTCTCCAGAAATTTATTCAGCTCGGTATTTCAATAGTACAGGAAATAGTTTTAAAAGCAAATGGAGTTTAAGAATTAAATGTTCATTGTTTTTAGTCTTAACAAAACAATAGAGAATTTATTAATTTTAATGTTATTAAATAGTGTTGTAATTTTCCAGTTCTCAAAAGAAACCTTGTTCATTTAATCACAGTGATAGAAGTAATGAAATCATGTTACAGAAAATTGGCAAAATAAAATCACCCATAATCCTGTCTCCAAAATTCAACCACTGTTATCTTTTTAATGTATTTCTTTCTAGTGTAGCTTCCTGTGTAAATGTTTACATAGCTTTAATCAGAGTGCAATCCTATTTTATATCCTGCTTTTTCACTTAACATGAAATAATTTTATATTGTGTATTCTTAATAACCAATATTTAAAATGTATGCAAACTGTATTCTTGTCAGTGTGACATAATTTAATCACCCTCCATGATCAAACATTTATCTTCTTTTTTTTTTCCTTTGTAGTCAATGAGGCTACAAACATTTTTATATCTATAACTTTCCCACATTTTAATTTTAAAGATTTTATTTATTTATTTATTTGAGAGAGAGAGAATGAGAGAGAGAGAACACATGAGAGGGGATAGGGTCAGAGGACGAAGCAGACTCCCTGCCGAGCAGGGAGCCTGATGCGGGACTCGATCCAGAGACTCCAGGATCATGACCTGAGCTGAAGGCAGTCGCTTAACCAACTGAGCCACCCAGGTGCCCCACTTTCCCACATTTTAAATTATTGTGTGGATTATCTTCCTAGGATTGGTTTCAGACATAGATAAAAGGGAATGACCATTTTTATGCTTTTTGAATCATATTACCAAATTATTTCCAAAAGGATTATAGCAATTTGCACTAGCAATCTACCAAGTGTTTTACCATACATTGTGCTAATGTTAGGTATTCTCTCTTTCTGTCTGTCTCTCTATTTGCTTATGTACTGCATTCAAAGTACCACTTTGTTTTTCTTTTATTATAGATTTATTACTGGAGGGAATCATAATTTCTCCATATATTTGTTACTAGATGTGAATTATCTGTTTATATCCTTTGGTTATTTATTTATTTGGTCCTTAATTTTCTTCTAGAAATTTTAGTAGTTGCATTTATGATAATGTTAACACCTTGGTTTTGTTTACTGAAAAAATTTTAAATCTGCTTGTCTTAGTCTTTAGACAAAATGTTATTTTTTTTAAAAAAGATTTTATTTATTTATTTGACAGAGACACAGTCAGGAGGGAACACAAGCAGGGGGAAAGGGAGAGGGAGAAGCAGGCCTCCTGGCGAGCAGGGAGCCCCATGCGGGGTTTGATCCCAGGACCCTGGGATCATGACCCGAGCTGAAGGCAGACGCTTAACTACTGAGCCACCCAGGTGCCCCCAAAATGTTATATTTAGATAAAATGTTATATTCTGTTATAAACTTATCTGTATAATACAGCTTTTTTTTAGCATATAACTTTTCTTGAAACTGTGTGTATTTTTTTTTTTTTAAAGATATTTATTTGACAGAGAAAGACACAGCAAAGAGGGAACTCAAGCAGGGAGAGTGGGAGAGGGAGAAGGAGGCTTCCCGCTGAGCAGGGAGCCTGACACAGGACTCTATCCCAGAACCCTGGAATCATGACCTGAGCCGAAGGCAGACACTTAATGACTGAGCAACCCAGGCGCCCCTGTGTGTATGTTTTGATGGCCCAAATGATACTATGGTATTCCAAGGGGCACCTGCGTGGCTCAGTTGGTTGTGTCTGAATCTTGATTTCAGCTCAGGTCATGATCTCAGGGTCTTGAGATCAAGCCCCGTGTGGGGCTCCACGCTGGATATGGAGCCTGCTTAAGATTTTCTCCCTCTTTCTGCCCCTCCCCTCCCCGCTGGGGCTCTCTCTCTCTAAAAAAAAAAATAATAATAAAATAAATAATAATAATTAAGAAAAAAAAGAACCAATGATACTATGGTATTTCTCATTGTATGTGTATTTGGCAGCCAAGAATACTTAGATAATAGAGATGCTTGACAGCTTTCTAATTTTATAGGAAAAGAGGAGCTAAGGTCGTATCCAAAAGAGTTGATGATTTCAAAGAAAAGTTTCAACATAAACTTGGAAGAGTTTTAGATCCGTAAGTTAATAATTAACTTTGAATTGATAGTGTCTTGGGATGGAATATAAAAAGTACTCTTTCGGTAAATGTTGGTTTGTTTTCTGTTAGGTTCTATCCATTAAGTAAGAAAGTCATCCTTTTGTGATAATCAGGGAACTCTCTTAGCTTCTGTAGGGCCTGGGGTTCTAGGAAAGTGTTGAGTCCTCTGAGATGAAGCGGGCATTCAGAGACCAGGGAGGGAGAATTTTATGTAAAGCTTTATTTCTGGGATACTAGAAATTTAATTTATCATGTTACATTTTTTTTTTCCCTCTCTCTCTCTTCCCTGTCTCTGTCTGTCTGCCTGTCTGTTTCTACTTCCATATTCTGCTTTGAGTATGTTCTTAATTTTCTTTTTAAATTTGGGCTACTGAAAGCCAGGGAAAGCCTTTAACCATTGCCTGAGCAAGTGGAAGATTAGACAGAAGATCAGCTGGAGAACTTCTGTTTGATCTTCATAGTTTGGTTATAGGAGAAATACAGGCTATTAAAAACATATGGCAAGCATATTTTAAATTCCAGAGATGCCACGTGGTGAGTATTTTAACTAAAGGATTTGTTTTCTTTGATAGCATTGCAGAAACAATGACTGTTCCCCCAGACCACACATTTGGAGCTTGTCTCCGTGCTGAGGAGTATGGTAAATATACAAAGTTTCTCCTTAAAAAACAGCAACATCCTTACAAAGTTATGTGGTTAAATTCACCATCTCCTTCTTTCAAACTTCGAATTTTAAAGGCTTAAAATATTACATTGACATTAATGAACAATTTGTAGCACAAAAAAAGAAAAAAAAAGTTCATATTCTGTTTGAAATAGGTACAGTTTAAAGCCTTTGTGAATGAATAAGTGTCGTCAAGGCTCAGAACTTTATTTAGAAAATAAATATGGCCTGTATTAAATAAGCCAAGGTGATTTGAGGCAGCTTTTTAATGAATTCAAGCATTGTACTAGGTCCCTGTTACTCAGAAGGTGGTCTGCAGACTGGCAGTGTTGGTGTCCCCTGCAAGTTTCTTAGCAATGCAGAATCTCAGGCTCCACACCAGACCTACTGAAACTGAAACTGTATTTTACGATATTCCCAGATTAATTGTAAGCACATTCAAGTTTGAGAAACCACTGTACTCTTCAATCACATAATTAAGAGCCACTCTCTTCCCACCAGCCAGTCAATCAATTAATCCATAAAGTGGCAGAAGAAACTTGCCAGGATTTTGTCTTTATTTCTAAGCGATCTATACGGTAGACATTCAAAGGGAAGACTATGCTAAAACTTATCAGGGCTGGGCTGTATATCGGTGGTTCTCAAAATATAGTCTGTAGTCTACTTGCATTGAAATCACCCAGGGAATTTATTAAATACGCACGTTCCTGGGACCTATGCCCAGACATTCTGATCCAGTAGGCTCTTATGTACACGAAGGTTTAAGAACTGCTACTGAAAATGTTTTAGCTAAAGCCCACTCACTGACAAAATATATATTTATTGAGCTTATGAAACAGTGTTTTAGAATATCAGTAATTGCATTAATTAGGAGATTGTATTTCAGTTCTGTTTTTAGATGAACTGTTACATGTTTAATGTATGCCTATCCATCTTAGAGGCTCTTCCTACCTGTAAGAGTGGTTAAGAGATGATTTAGGAAATCCATCAATTGGCCTGAAAAATAAATAGGTAATCATGGTAAATTCTGCTTACTTGAGGGCACACTTCATCCTGGTGGGTGCTCCGTCTTGCTGTCTGTTGGATCCTCGGAGTCTAGCACACAGTACATTTTTCACAAATATTTATAGCATGAATTGGTGAATCCAACACATAGTTTATCATTTTGACAATTTGACAACATTGACAAATTTCCTAATAGTTGATCAAAGTTATCCCTACAAATTGAATGAGATAGTATTACAAAATGAAAAGGAAAACCACTGACATTAATAATTTTAAAAATACATAAGTATCAGTACCAGGATTGGTCCTGCATAGTTTAACTGTGAAAGGGGACTCTAAATCCTCTTTGGACTTTTCCTAGAGTTTAGGGATGGATGCAGATTAACTCTAGGTTCTCATCTTTTATGATGATTATTGGGGTCAACTAATGGCATTTATTCTGCAGAAAGCTCCTGCTTCTAGAAACATATTGATTTCTTTACTGGGCCTGGATTTCTCCTTTACACTTACTTATGGAAATAAAGGCAGCAGTACAAAGAATGTCTCATCCCTAAGGCCTGGAGTTATTGGTAATGTTAAGACACCTCCAGGAAGAGCACAAGGGCTGTGGCCAGCTCCAAGAATGCACCAGAGCAGAGGTAAGGTAAAGGAAAATCCAAGACCAGTGGACAGTACTGCCTCATGGGAACTGGTTGCAGGCAGAGTACAATTAAAGAGCTTGCTTGGCTTTTCTGACAGCCATGGTGTGGTAGCTAGGTCATGGGTCTCCCAGGGCCAGAACTTGTGCTCCTGACTTCAGCTCTATAGAGACGACCCTTGAGTAATTGCAAATGATTTTACATGAACTTCATACCTATTCTTTCAGGGCCAAGCCAGAAGAAAATATCAGCATACATCTCACTCAGCAGGAGTTACACATAGTGGGATTATGGTGGGAAAACCAGGTGGAATTGAAAAAACCATCATTCAAATGGTTATTTTTGCATGTTAATGGAGAGGGAAGGCCTCCGAAGATAAAAACTCAACCAAGAGCCATTTTGTGGAAGAAGGAAGATCTCCATTATACACAATAGCCACCCCAGTGTTTATATCAGAGGCAGGGATATGGATGAGGAGAGGAAGCCCTGCTTATTTGTCAAAAATCACTCTCACTGTCTTGATTTCCTCTCACAGAGCCTTACTTGTGCTTTGTCCACTTGATTTTGGTCTGAGGCACTTGTCTGGTTCCTGGAACCAGCATTAGTTGTGGGCTTCTCAACCCCATCTACCCCTAAAAACATGACTTTTATCAGAATATGTGGGATTAGCTCCTGATTTTATAATAAGTAAGAATCTTAGAGGTGCAGTGAGTACCTATTAAAAGAGACTCTTGACAGAGCCTAATATAGGGCCTTATATAAATATTAGTTGCTGTGAACTGCAGCGGATGTAGTGATTTAAATTATTCCATCTAGGATGTCACAGCCAACTGCCAACATGATCCTGACCTAAGCAAGCAGGAAGGGAGGTGTGTAGGCCAGGGGAAAATGAACTGAAGCAAAAGGTTCCTTCCTGTGACATCCACCATCACATCTGGAGCAACATGGTCCACTCTAGTCTGAGCTCTGTCACCATTAACATCCAAGGAATGTTTCCCAAAAGGGAGTGGCAAGGAATGCTTATAGGCAGTGTGTATGTTTGTACTTTCTTTGTGTCATAATCTGTGGAAGTTCCTTTAAGTCATGAATGATAAATGGAAGCAAGGGCCAGGTCTGAGGGGATATAGCAGGTGGAGAGTTTATGACTTCCAGATAACTGAGGGGGTTGTGGGTCAGGACTCAGTTAATAGAATTGTGGATGAGGGTTGGTGTGGTTGTACCCGGGAAGCAGGGCTGAGAAATGGGAACTTATAATGCATACTGAAGGCAGACTGGGAATTCATATTAGGCGGGAGTAGGGTATTTGAGTTCAATTTTTACAAGGGATCCCAGAAGTTTAGTCAACTTCACGGCATTTAGAGTGGCCTCCACATGGACTCCTCCCTATTTTTCAGATCCTCAGCATTGCAGACAAATGTCTGCAAAGAAGCAGAGAGGCAAGGGCTTAAAATCTTAGGAAAGACAGCCAAGTAGGGCTGATGATTCCCCCCCATCTCCCCAGCCCAAAATCATTTTGTGAGAACTTTTTCATTGAGCAGAGAAGTAGAACATAAACATAAAACAGAAGTATGAAGTTTTATTAATTACTTTATGTACTTTTTTATACACAAGGATTTTCTGTCATGCTGCATAATAGTGTCAGATTTAAGCGTGAGGTTTTTTTCATTCACAGACTGCTAGATCTCTTTCTTAGGATGGGAATAATATTAACAGAGTTTAAATTCAGATAAAAGACTCCCCCCCTCCCTTTTTTTAATAGGAGCTGGTGATCTCATCCATAACAGACTTCCGGGTGAATATCTTCAAGGCAAGGATAGACAGAGAGCCCTGATCGCAGCAGTGCGACATCACTTGAAGAAAGTTAACTACCAAAACTTTGACACTTTGCTGGCAGCCTTCAGGCACTATGATAAGGCTAGTATTTGAATGGAGTTTTTTGGACAATGCATGGCTTATAGATCCTGGCAGGTTGGTGTAGATCAGGGGTCAGCAGACTATGGCCTGAGGGTCAAATCCAGCCCACCACCTGTCTTTGTAAATAGTTTTACATGACAATTTGTTTTAAGTATGTTCTATGTCTGCTTTTGCACTACAAATGCAGAGACTGAATGGCCTGCAAAACCTAAAATATTTGCTTTTTGGCCCTTGACAGTAAACGTTTGCTGACCCCTGGAGTAGATCAGTGGTTGCCAAAGTTTGGTCCTTTTATCACCACCAGGGTTACTTGGGAACCCATTAGAAATGTGCAATCTAAGACCCACCTACTGAATTGGGAACTCCAGGTTGGGGCCTAGCAATTGTGTTTTAACAAGCTCTGCAGGTCATTCTGATACAGTTTGAGAACCACTGTGGCAGATTAACACTGTAGTGTGCTGGGAGCAAAGCGGGAGGGTGGGCATCATAGATCCCCAGGGAAGACTCCTGGGTCTAGGCCATCTATACCTAAAGTTGAGTATGTATACATAGTGCTGTTAGTCTACGTACAAGTCAAGCTTGGAATGCTTCTCCCCTGGGGGAGCAGGGTGTGGTTTCAGTTTTGAGAGTGTAAGATTATTCCATTTTCAACCTAAATTGTGTCCTTTCATAAAGTCAGATCAATCTAGGCCTGCATAATTACCTCACACCATTTTAGGCCATCACAGGATCGCTTTCACCAAGCTGCACTGCCTTTAGCTTATACTAAGGTGCACTATTGTACAAACCTCTTGTGAAACATCGCACAATTTTGTTACTATGTCCATAAGGCTTTTATTTATTTTTGTCACATGTATCCTCTTTATAAAGAAACCCAGTCTTTCTAAAGGAAATAACTGTGCTTCATTTATGTATCTGGTTTGTTTTTACCTCATAAGCAGCATGAACTTTGTACTGATGGTGAATACCTTTTTGACTTGGCCACCAGGAAGCTCAGAGCCAATTCAACAAAACACATCTAGTTTGTGAATATGATCTTACAGCATGCATTTTGTGTGCTCTTTTTATTCCACATTTCTTTCTTTCTTTTTTTTTTTTTTTTT